CTAATTTAGGGGCTGCTTATACGAGTGGCTACTGTAGATCTCAAAACCAGGCTGATCTGTCAGCCAAACATCTTTCCTTGTAATTGAATTCCAAGTTTAGACCCAATCTATTCATGCAGAATCTTATTTGTATATCCTATTACATTTTCTTGTGTGTATATATTCTAGCACAGTCTAAATCTTGACGATGCAGTAAAGCATGGAATAAATAAGTCAGCATGCAGCAGGTTATGCAAATATAATAATCATTTATACTATGCAAATGTTCATGATTTTGTTGGCTTTCTTGACATTTTATGGGGTGATAAATCAATATTTGAATAACAGTTCCTATAAATTCCTTTACACCTTATGACCAACAATAATTCCCATAAACAGCAAACTTGATATGGAACAATTTTACTGTGAGTTTTCAAGCAGACTGGCCTTAATCCTTTCCTTATATGTGTCTGCATGAGAGCTAAACTGAATAAATCGTGATGGTTGTTCACTTAATCACTTGTTTGTTCTTGTATAGGCCATTTTAGCCTTAAACAAACTAAAAAAATATACACAGAGAACACCTACCTTATTGCTTTTCTCTGCCAAATAAATAATTTAAACTTTATTTCTCATTCTTTAGCGATTTTGCTGGCAAATAAACTGAAAATCACTCAGACTAGCCATTTTTAAAACCACGTGACTGTGTTTGTTTTGCAGGAAATTTAATAACATTGCTCTAAATCTTAAACTCGGTCACTCGGTCATGAGCATCGGAGACTGGGGAGCAAAAACGGCATACTCTGAATGATGTTATTTAATTTCAAAATGGCGCGTATTTATTTTTGTTCGTCGAAGAACTGAAAATACAAATGCAATTTGTGAAAAAACTGCGGGTCTACGAAGCGGCAACTTTTCGGATTTGAATTCAGCGTGTTCGAAAATGTTAGTTACCGTGAAAATATTTCAGTTCCACGACATGCTTAATGAAAATCGTTTTCTAGGCATATTTTTAGGTCACGGCAAACGGCCTATATCGGAACAGCTTCGTTATTTGTTGGAATATTGACGGTGACGTCACTTAAGGTAGCGGTTTGCGGTAATTCGATTATTTTCGCCAAAAAGAACACACGAGGTCTGTAGAATTGAAGCATTTATTTTATATCGAAAATGACACATTAAACAGACAAACAAAAGCCTGTTCAAGCAAGATATTTGGAAAAAGGTATGGTTGTGACTTTCTGTATAAAACCAAGCTTTACGGCGTTGTATTAATGCGCGTTTTATTACTAAAAGGTCATGCCCTCGTGTTGTTTATATGCAAATATCAAATGTGGGTTGGCGACACATGTATAAATAATGAATAAAATCACCATACTTTAAACGATTGAAGATTATTTGGGAAAGTTTTGTGTTGAACTTGCATATGAAGAAATATTAGTTTGCATCGACAAGTGCTGCATTGAAGTAGATATAGTCGGAATCTAAAAACTAAAATTGTCAGACCGATAGGCTATGCTCTTTCACCTCGACCTTGTGAAAATTTTTTATCACTGCTCAAGGTGTAGTTCAAAAAATTTTTGATCAAGGGACATATTGTTAAAGATCACCATTGACAAATAGATTTTATTCTGTGAAAGGGGGAGGGTGTTAGCTCAGAATCCATGACTGTTATATAATTGGGACAAAATTTGACCTTTCTGGGAAAATTAAACATAAAATTGTCCACGATTGGGGGTTGAAGTAATTGTGGAACATGTCTAAGGACAAAATCTATTTGTCAGGAGTCACTATTAAATCCTAGCCTGCGTAACGGCTCATAATAGAAAGGAGAGCCTGCACTAGATCTACTGTTTTGCCATTCCCACCTTGGCCTGCTTGGCCAATCACAAAGATTCTTTACGTTTGCAAATTTACTTGTTAAAATGAACACAGAAAAATATCATGATTACTAGATTACATCGGATATCGAAGGAACTAGACTTGGTTCCGAAATATCACATACTCAAACTGACCTGACGTGTAGCTCAGTTGGCACAGCATTGGGCTAGCATTCCAAAGGTCATAGGTTTGATTCCCACCGTGGCTAGGCATATTTTTCAAGCTTGCCCTGTGTGGATACACACTCAGAGTAACATCCCAAGTGCTCACCATATTCACCTGAGTACATTACACTAACGAAGAAAAATATCGAAATAATATAGATTGCTTTACGTTTGCAAATTTCAAAACGAAATAATATAGGTTTATTGTTTGTCCGACCGGAGTGTAATTTGGTGTCTGACCGAACTGTAGCTTTGTCCAACGTGAATCAAAATGTACCCTAGTCCGGGACTAGAGGCTCGACTATGTTAAATGGAAAATCAGAGGACTATTGAGTATTGTATAAAAAGTGAACTGGAAATGTTGTTTTAAGTAAACATAGCTAATCAGCGTGGGACAGCGAACAAAATGGTGAAGTGGAAAACGGGTTTAAGACTTTAAGTTGTCGAACTCTTACTGTTGTTCTGGCAAGCAAGTTAATTTTGGCTTGGAATAAATATGAATGACACAAATTATTTAATATCTTCCCACAGGGTTCGTACAAAACTTGAAAGTCCTTGAATGTCCTTGAATTTGAAAACAAAAATTCAAGGCCTTGAATGTCCTTGAATTTGTAAAGAAGTACGAAAGTCTTTAAATTTTTCTTGCTTTAGTTTTTGGATATTTTCTGAAATTGTTTGAGATTCAAAATGTTGAATTTTGTTGAATTGATACTGATTTCAAACCCCTTTTCTTCAGTATTTAGTCCTTGAATTTGCTGATACATGGCCTTGAATGTCCTTGAAAAGTCCTTGAATTTGACCCTTCCTGACATGTATGAACCCTGTTCCCAGTTCCCAACATTTACCGTTCAGAATTAATACATTGTGCTGATATTCATTATTTTGTGTCATTCAGACTTATATTTCCAAGTCAAAACTGAACTGAAGGTCATCGGACATATGTGTGACCCAAACTCAACGTCATCGGACATTTTAAGGTCTGCATAACATTGTATAAAAAATATTATATGATCAAGACCACTCAGAATCATAGATCATAAACTGATTACAATATTTATCACTTCATGAAACATTGCCGCAAAACAGTGTGCAGAGCAATATGAGAGGTAGTGCTCATGCGTATGTGACTGTTACAAAACCATTGCAAGTCATTGTTAGTGTGAATTGTAATGTTTATGTGTCAAATTTAAAAATTTATGCTGAAATCATGTCTCCTAAGTTCTTACATTAGTGGTCTCCTAAATACTGTACTCTCCTTCTTGTGGGGTGTTTTGGAAAGGCTTAATTCTTAGAGCCTAATTCTTAATTCTTCAAAAGAGTTGGAAATGTTCAATTCTGTTGAGCGATTCTATATATATGTTTGTGTACAAGTTCACTCATTCACAGCCGTCAAAAGACATTTGCTGACAAAATTGTTTGTCTAATCTAATCTAATCTAAACTAAGGTTTTGGTGGTAGAATCTCACTTGCATAAACATACACAATCCATCAAACAGAATACCAGCACATGTAGTGTCATGGTCACCACGCTTGCCTTTCAAGCTGAGAGACCCGGGTTCAATCCTTTGTCGGACCTCTACTCAAGCTCTTAAAATAACTGAGGAGAAAGAGCTACACCTTTACATTGACATCAGTAAATGGTATCCCCTATCAATTGGGCAATAGCCTGTTGGGAAATCTGCTCACCAATGAGTGAGAAACTCAAAACTCAGAATGATCAATTTCAAAATGGCTTCTTTGAACAGTAATTGGAGGTTTTCCTGGATATTTTGCCTGGATTAAACACTAGAATAGAGGTACATATATATAGTACCTACAGTACAGTATATACAGTAGGTTTTTACTGCTCTTCCTGTGTGAAATTAGACATTATATTGGAATTGGATGTTTTCTGTATGGGATACCAGTAGGTGTGAATGTTAGCACTTGCAGGAGTCAAGGTGTCAACTCATCCTTAAGAGTCAGTATGCTGAACATGTGTCATGACAGATGTCCATAATGGCTTTCCTCCTTATCACTATATGCACATAATTTTCATTGTTTGCTGTCTACAGGTAGCTAGACCCTAATATCTTCAGACCTTCCCCCTGTATATTTGAATACAGGAATTTATTCTACTATGTTCTATGAAATACCGTGGATAATAAAAGACCATGGTGGGAATTCAAAGAAACCAGTTTTGGCAAGTGTGAATTTTACACACTTGTGGCTCTCTATCACTATTCTTGTGGCTACGGATTACCAATGTTTTATCTGTTCTCAGACCCTAACATGTCTCAATCGCCTATTTGTATACATTTTACTGCGACTAATTTACTGTCTGTTCTAATACACAGTTAGCTGTTTTGGCAAGGTGTTAACTTTACTTCTTGAGGTGTAAATGAAGAGGGTTTATTCCTCATGTCCATAAATCAAGATGTCTTTGCTGTCTACCATAATTCCTATAGCTATGCCTATGTAGATAATAAAATCCTGTCAGGTTCTAATATCTTTCAGTCATTTATCTCTCTATACTGGCATTATTTAACTGTTCTTTCTCTGTGTAATACACGGTTACGGTACCTAATTTGGTAAGGTGTGAATTTCATACACGCAGTTGACAAGAGTAAAATTCGCATGAAGAATATTTGCTTCCATGGTCGATAATGTCTTTGGTCTCGCTCACTGTACATATGACTATCAGTGTTCAATTATCATTCTTGATCTTGATGAAGAAGAAATTCCATCGTTTAATTTCATCTTGTATCTTGACGATCCTTATATTCTGGTGCCACACGATCACAGATTAATCAATAAAACCAAGGCATACAGCATCAAAACGACTCCCTCTTGTAATAATATGTACACCAGACGTTAAAATAAACGTTTCTCAAGCTTCCAAAAGTTTAAAAATTTGGAACGCTTCACGAATTTGCGTGTCATCCTTGCGCAGGGGCCATGCTAATCTTCTCTGTATCGTTCCAATTTTAGTATATGTGCTGCCGAAGCAAGCACGTCTTACACTGTGATAACCTTGTATTTAACTGCCAAACACTCTCGTAACTCCGGACATGTGGGATGAAGGTTTTTTATGCAAATGAGGATTGTCCAATGCATTTTTATATAAAAAATTACCGGTAAATCTCGTGTCTGAAATCGTGATAAATCTCGTCAATTTACTTTCAGGACGGTAATCCAGGTTACTTTTAGTTAATTTAAAGACTAGAAATGATATGTTTTATCAGAAAGAAGCAAACGTTTTCACTCTTCTTTGACAAGGTTTCTGCGCTTGCCCAGTGTTAGTTTCTGACACTGTTTCTGAACATTTCTAAATCTTTAATATATGCAGCAGCACGCTGACAATGTGCCCGATGGCTCAACTATACGTTTCGGCAACGTAGTTAACCCGTTGATCACATTTCGAGGTTTTTCTCGGATTACGTTCGTAAATGAAAGTTGTGTAAGAATGATATAAAGCCTGCCGCACACGAGAGAAATTTGCTGAGCTAACCGCCTCGTGTGGCGGCTAGCTCAGCTATGGATTTTCACCGCACACGTTGGGAAAACTACTCAACAACAACATAATTGACAAAATCGTTTGCATTTTCCTCCATTCTGTTCAACGTAACATGACGAAACTATGGTTTCTCATTGGCTAATTGATTCAAGCAGCTCAGCACTAACCTCGCCACATCCGCAGACGTTGAGATTATTTCCTCGCGATGTGAAAAATATCAAACACGATATATATTTTTCTCTCAAGGCCTCGAGAGGTCAAATCCTCACGAAAACTATCCGCACACGAGAGAAACTTGCTGAGTTAGCTGCCACGCGAGGCGGTTACTCAGCAACTTTCTCTCGTGTGCGACAGGCTTAAGCAGCCGTGGTTTGTGTATGAACTACGGCTCAAAAGGATTGACATCGATGTTTTCAGGGAAGACCTTCTTCAATACTAATAGTTAACTAAACTGGTGAAGAGCATCGTTCTGAACGTTGAATGTTATTAATATGTTTGCAAAGTTTAGACTTTATTATTTTTATTGATCGCGCTATTCTATCAAGTCTTTGTTTGTAAAGTTACTAATCTGGGTAACATTTTCAGAAATTTAGAGTGACGGTGACAATGAGATTACGAAAATCGTGGTCATTAAAAATATTCTAGCTTGATTTAATATGGCAGAAATAATTATCAACTTCGGGGCTTTGATGGCGCAATCGTCACAGCAAGCGCCTTTCACCTCTGAGATATATCGTGGGTTCGATTCTCGCTACGGATTCAAATCTTGAGTCAGTCAACGCTTTACCGAAAGTCGTGGATTTTCTCGGGGTACGCCGGTTTCCTTTCACAGGGAGTGTTGACAGGGTGGGTTGGGATTATCCCCCTAACTGACCCTTCCACGTTAGCTGTGCTCCGTGATCAGACATGAGTCATAAGGTGGCTGCCATAGGCGCCCTTAGAAAGCCTTCGACTCGAACAGCCTGATCAGGTCGAGCTGTGTCCTTCGTAATTCAGCGTAGCTCTCAGCTGCTGTAGATATGTGTAAGTGATGTACTGTAGACAGTACGTGGTGTGTTTAAATGTGTGTTGCGGCCAGGAAAGGATGATATCACAAGAAATTTCTCGGAATTTGCTCCCAACTACAGTAAATTCTCCCACGAAATTGTTGGCATTTGAACAAATTTTCTAAATTTTCTTAAATTATATGAATCATAAATCTAAATTTCATTTACAATAATTTTTAAAATGAAATATATCTATTCAATAAAGAAGTAAATAAATTGGTCAATCAATCAATCAACTTTATTTCCTGACTGAGGGGAACACCAAACAATATTATTATTGACAACCCTGAAAAGTGTGTTTCCACGTTAAACATTACTCTGCTCTAAAATTTTGTCCTAATATTGAAAGGGCAAAATCGTACTTAACCAACTGACTGGTCACTTGCAGAAAAGATTCGTATTGGCCTGTGAGGCTTCAGAATTCCCTTGTGCATTTTATATATTCATTTAGTAATAAAACAAGGTTTATTCTGTTCTTATATTTCAGACACTTTAGGGACTTTCACTGGGGGGGGAGGTAGTTCACTGGGGGAGGGGGGGGGGGGATTCAGTACTGGGGCTGGGAGGCCTTGGCCCCTCCAACTTATATGTTAAATCCTTTACCCAATCATGCTGCAACGAAACGACATACACGAATGCGTTCTTTTGGCCTTAAAGGGAAGACTTTTCACTTCCTTTCGCGATCCTTGGTCTGTTTGAGACAATTTGGTGCCTTGCAAGTCCTTCTTAGCTATTCAAAAGTCTTCAAAACACTAACAGTTATTTTCATTTTGTTTTAGAATGGAAAATTTTCAAGCCCCAAACGTTGATATGTTCTTGCTGTGTGTGAGTTTCTTGTTGAAGCCATTCGCAAATTGATGGTACAGTATGTAATTATCATCACTCCACCACGCCTGATAGCTTTTGTTTATACATACACGTAATGAAAAATAATTGGATTTCTCGCCCCAGAAATCCTACCTACGGAACAGATGCAGGCGAACCTACAGTTGTTCCTGGTACACGCGCTCCAGGTGTTCATTGGATCAATATAGCCACGTGAATGCATAAATGCAATATAATAATGTCCAAAATTTGTACCATTTTCGCCATGAAAGCTAACAGATTTTCTATGTTTGACCAGCAATAGCACAAGCAATGTCGCCGGAAATAGAGGTGAAACGAAAACCACCACCCCCAACCAACCTACGGCACCAAAACGAAGTCGCTTCAGAACTGGCAGAGGTGCCCAGGGATAGCGCGTAAACACTTTGTCTCCAAGCGTCAACATCGGCGAAGGTGCAAAAAGGAGATAACCGATGTTCCACCACCATCAATACCACCGTCAACCCCACCAACACAACACAGGACTCACATCGCCACCACCAGTGTCACCACGTCGACCACCAGGGCAGCTGACACCGGCACCGACAAAGGAACCTTCCTGCAAGATACCACGAGTGCAGGTTAGTTAATTATATTATGAGATCTCGTTATTAAACGTTTGAGCGAAGGATTACGGATTATACCACATACAGAGTGCTTTTCGTTTGTAACTGAACCAGTTTAAGTCAGGGCTTGATGAAACCATTAAATCAAACAGCGTAAGCATCTGGGGGCATGCTGGACACTTTACAAGTTCCTTATCAAAACAATTGCCACGTGCTCCGTCTTTCTCTCTCGCAGTGTTTTCTCTTTGTTATATTGTTGTGCGCAAAACTTTTCTATTAATACAGCGTATGTGCTAATGTACATTAAGTCCTTGATGAACTCAACAAAAAAGCGAATGGTCCCTGCAAGCTGGAATGGTGGGGAAGAGACCCTTCGAAGAGCCCCTATCTTTGCAAGATGATTCCTGGCAGTGAAGCGGTGACCCATGCTATTTTCGACCTCGCCAACTTTGCCAACGCCTTCGCGAATCAAGTTGCCCACATGACCGGAAAGACATTACGCCAGAAAATTACGCCAGAAAAGCAAAGAAATATGAGATAACGCCAGACCTAGCGCTGAATCATATCGTCGCATCCTTGAGAGCGAGAGAATAACCGCCGCTTTTTGCAAGAGTTGTTCATGTGAAGCTTGCGATGCCGTGCAAGAATTCGTCGACAGGCAGAAAGAACGAGCTGACAAACAGGAGCACGAAGAGAGAGCAGATGATGAGGAAGTATTCGGGTACTGTCAGCTATGACCAACCCAAACTGGTTGTACTTCGCGTCTACGCCCAAAATGCTGCCGCCTATGCTTTCGTTAATCATGTGCGCGGCGGTGCATGGGTCGTTATCTCAAAGCGATACAGCGGATTACGAAAGCCACCCCAAGGAGTGGCTGAGGAATCATACGAACAAACATCTTCGGTTCAAGCTTGTCAAAGTCTCACGTGACCATGTTGTCATCTCTGGTCATTCGGTTGTCGACACAGAGACGGATGACTTACTTCTGACACACATAACTCACCGATGTCGATACCACAACACCATACGATTTCGAAACGGGGGAAATGATGCGCCGGAGATGGGATAACCGCTTTCAGGTTATATGGCGAGCGTGATGGCAGAGGTACGAGGAAACACCTGAAGACTTTCCACTTGGTAGTTGAGAATCTGCGCAACGCAACGCTATATAATCGCCACTTCTAACCGCGTGTTCTTCCGCATGCCCTTTGAAGTGGAGCATGGTTGTCTGTTGGTAAACCTTACGTGGAGCAAAAGAAGGAAGACCCCGTTTGCTTCCTGGAGGAAGTCATAGTTTCAGAGGGCCACACTTTCAAGTGAGTGGCACGTGCGTTATATCACGCTTCAATTCTCGAGCCTACCTGCCGGACTCACTGGCTGGACTACAAGAAATGAAGCATTGAAATGATTTTGCAGTTTGAAGGATTTTTATCGTCTTTAAATGAAAGCCTGACTTCACCAACTCTTGTTTTTGAGCTTTTCCAAAACTTTCCCAGCGAGATGAATTCAACGAATGGGCAGTGAAGATAAATTCAGCTTCGCAAGAAAAAAAAATTATTTCACCACTGAGTTGAAGTTTGTTGTGCTCAGAACGTAAACGAAAAATAGTCAAGGTAATGATTCCTTAAATTTAATAAACAACACTTAGCATAGCAATCTGCATGCCTTCCAGTCACGATCCATTGATCGGAATGTTTCATCGTCTTTCATTGTTTTTAAAATCCTACAGTTCTTCGTGCTATCCAGTCACTCATTAATGTATTTTCAATAGATTCACAGATGCGCAGCGCATTTGCAAGATATTTCACATCCACACTTCTGGCGAAGAACTTCACTGTCTTGAAACACCAGGTATTTATTAATATAAATATGAGGCAATTTCCAAATTCTTAACAAAATCTCTCAGCTAGCTGCTTGCTGGGCAATGGGTTCGACAATGTATTTTGGTTATTTATGGATTGTATCTGGCGTATATGTGACCGAAAAGGATGTGGAAATCCTGGACGGATGTTTGTTTAATGTTTTTCGGTACGTTTTCGATATAATGCATTTTGTTCAGTTTTTCACATTTCATTTAATTAATTACTGATCAGCTAATTTTTTTATTTATTTATTTTTTATTTATTCATTTTGTCACACACATAAAAGATATACATTTGCATACTAAATTCTAATTATTAAATACATGCAGAAACTAAATTCCAATTGATATTCGACCCATTAACAATTAATGGATAACAAGACGTACTAAGACAAATATGCACGAACATATCACATATTACATGCAACTTAACATATAGGATACTGTACAACG